AGAATTAGAGAATAAATCCTCATGATACTCAGCCACTGTCTGTGGTTGTTTTTTATTCTTATTTTTATTATAATTTTTATTCCCTTTTTTTTGAAGGGTTTCTACAGCGCTGGTGTATTGTATTTAACCGGTCTGTTTAGATGGTGGTAATGAAGATGAGGTGATATTCGTAGAAGAGCGTCTTGGTGAGTGGATTCAATGGAGGTGGTAAGCTAATTTCTCTCTTAAGTAAAGCGCCGTTAATTGAAAAGCTCAGCACATTTATATGTTTCGTTTTCTTATACATCATTCGATAGAGAATTTCACGCTGATCGGAACATCACCTTTTAGTCTCTCCGTTTTACGGATATACATTGGATAAAATTTGTTTCATTCCTGGTCCGGGCCCGGGTCAGTTGGCCGACATGTACACTTTGTCGACAACTCATTTTGCTGACAAAAATTTGAAGTCCAAAAAATTGTCTTAAAGCATCTTTTCGTGATAAACACGGTTGTATTTCACGCGGTGCTGTAGCAATAACATTACTAATGATTTATGCAAGTTGACCGTTGCTAATTTGAGCCAGCTCCTTCATTTGAATGCAGCTTTTCAAAACTTCTGCTTTGCTTGCTTCTGGAGCATGATTGTGGTGCTTAGCATCAAATGTGCGAATCTTATGCTGGTCCCCATTACAAATTGTAGTGGCCCTTGCAATACGTTTCGTTTCCTTTCGTCTTCAAAATCGACCCTATCGCGGAGACAATCGAGGCAGAAGTAACGGTCGTGGAAGAGGTCTAGGCGAGGACGTGGCTACTATAACAATAGTAGCTATAACCCACTCGCGGCACCTATCTTATATGATTACGTGCCCCAGCTGTACCAGTTACCTATAAAGCAACAGCCACAACAACAACAAAATAATGTGCCGTTGAATAAAGGCAACCCAACTGCTTTATACAGAAATAATATATCTATGTCATTTCAGGATCGGCAAAATAATAATTCAGTTACAAGTAATAGCAGAAATACGTAAAAAAGCTCTTTTCAGAATCAATATTATCGCAATGATAGTATCAGTATCAACCAGATATAAATAAAGTCAACAACCAATACCAATCTCATCATAATAAAGTCAGTAATACTGATCAGAATATTCCCAATAATCCGGAGTACAGATATCCGAATAATCGGAATCAGGCGATTAGCAAAGAGCCGTTACGGCCAATGCAAGATGATTATGATGAAGATCTAATATTTCAAGGCCAACAGTATACACATCCCAGCGCTGTAGAAACCCTTCAAAAAAAAGGGAATAAAAATTATAATAAAAATAAGAATAAAAAACAACCACAGACAGTGGCTGAGTATCATGAGGATTTATTCTCTAATTCTAATGATCAGCAAACACCTGTTTATTTCGAAAAAATAAACAGAATCTTGCAAAAACACCGAAATATCTGAAACCATGCGCACTAGAAAAAATCTTTGCCGAGCAGTCGACTATTTCAAAAGCACATCTATCTAGAATAATCGTGTTTTTTGACCGTTTAATTAAGGCTAATTTCCAGCGCAATTTACACGAACAATATCTACGATTCGCGAATGATGTGGACTCCCCAATAGCGGCTCGTCAGATCGAGAGAAAAACCAAATCGAAAGACATTGCACTAAATATAAAATTCATCAACAAACAATTGGTATACTATCACAAAATAATACAAATGCAAGCCAACCACATTGACGCCGTCTATGAAGCATGGCACGATGATAAAGGTGGGCTCTGGGATACACGACAACTTGAAAAATGGACTGACATAAAATTGGTACAAAAAACAAAATGTATGGCCTATATCACAGAGCAAACAAAAACATGACAGGCTACACTCGAAAGACGAGTAGCTATATTAGAGCAAGACCAGATATTAGAAACAGCAGTGAGAAATATCGATAAGGATATTTCTGTACAAACACAAAGTGAGTTTCGTACGATAAAAAGTAACCTTGAAATATGTTCTAGAAAACGTATCGAAATGAGATTAATGGATGTCCGTATTCCCACGGATCTCCCATTAGCAATATTGGCCCAATTTGACGTTACAATACCAATTATGCCCAGCTTAAGAAAACCGGACATAAAACGTTTCGAAGACGGTTTCAAACTAATTTTGTGGAGATGCTAAATTAAAAATGCACGCTTTGATCTACGAAAAAGTGGCGTTTGAACTCGAATTTTTAGCAGAAGCACAAAAAAAACAAGTTTTACAAAACTAGAAAATTGCGAACCCAGTACGCTCGAAAATATTAGAACGTTCTCAGACGCATTTTTAAGAAGAGTACAATTATTCGCAGAAAACAAAGTGCAATTTTTAAAAGATTTATCGTAAATCGATAGACGAAGAAGACGAACTGTTGGATGTATCAACAATCCTCGATCGATTCGCGCCACCGAATCTATTCTAATCAACGCATCGTACCCACCACTCGTCCGAAGTCAGGTTTTAGATTTGGACGAGAAAGAAGTGAGTTTTCTTCGCTTAGGACCTAAATTTGTACCTATTAATTATAGGATAGGAGCGCAACCGATGGACAATGGAATCACCGATATGATTACAAAATTTAAAGATATCTGTGTTACACATCATCTATCGCCAAAATCACATTTGGCACAATTATTCATTGATGATGCTACGAAACTCTGCAGATCATATTATACGATTTCGAGCCCGGAGTCACACCGAAAATATTGTACGTTCGTTAAACCGAAAAATCAGAAACGAACCTCCAAAGAAATAATATCTTGTTCAGAGTAAGGCGATTACACTGTTTTCCGATGTTTGAGGTGACCTATGAATTTTGTTTCGGAGTCTGATGAAGACAGAAAAAACTACTCTTGAGTCAAGAGATGGGATTGGTTTTATAACAAAGAAATGTCTGGCAGTTGTAACATCCTACACTAGGAATTCAAGACGATCATCTAGAATATGACATCAACCAGTGCTATCAGTTCCCTGCCGAAGTTGATGCAAAAGTTCACTACTCCGACTGCTAACAAAATGTTTGACTCATAGAATACAAGAGATAGTGAGCGAGAAAAAGGAAAATTAGCGTTAGGACAACACGAGAAGATTACAGGTAGTACAATAGACTGACTGAATTCTGAAGTCATTTGCAGATATAATAATTCCTATCGCTTATTGATCAAAGAGGATATAATCAACAAATCGCTTAAACCTGCCTTGAATAGTACAACACATGTGATGCCTATGATAATATTTCCAGAAGGATTTATTTTCATGTTAGTCTATAGCAGATGTCTAGAACTACGTTCGATGTGAAAAGCAAATCCTTTGAGCAATGTTTAGTGCTCCAAAACTTGTTGGGAGAAACGTGTATCACAGCGTCACGACGCTAAAACACAATTATTGAGGGATGGGAAGCTCATCGAAAAATCTTTTTTTTAGTAATCAATAGCTCGTTCCCTTCTCTACAAACTTTGCTTCAGACGCTTTTTATTAGGTCTTCTAAATTCGGAGCAAATTAGCTTTTACTGAGAAGAACTTCGAATTTAGGGCCTTTTTTGTCACAGCGTCACGCACCGATAAACGGTTCTAAAAATTCGAGTCTTTAACCAAATATCTTCGTTTTTATATCGAAAGTAGAGTATGGCGAGCTGCGTCGAATGGCGCAAGAACGAAGTTTCTAGCTCATACAGTTTTTGAGAAAAGCTCAATTTACTGTGTCAAAAATGTCACAGCGTCACGCTTGTACAAGCTCCCGAATACTTTTCTATTTGTTCTTCACTTTTCTTCAATTGAAGAACTTCTCGACTTTGATCGAACGTTTTCACCTTCATTCTTCTCTCTTTGATTTGTACAAAGTTCAGATGAGAGAAGAACAAAGTTGACGGTGTGGGTGATGATGCAACGAGGTCGAAGTTCAATGTCTCAAACTCACCAGTTGTGAAATTTGATCGTGCAATCGTTCGTCGTTTCAGTTCTGCAGAGAAGAATGATCCAAGAATTTCTCTTTTGTTCACTGTGTCTGAAATGACGAGACAAATGTTGATCGACTTCGAAGACGAACAAATTCTTCTTTGAATCTTTCCATTGATTGATTCATTTCATCGCTGATTTCTCGTTAATCAGTGATTCACTTCTCAGCAAATCGACGACAATCATGCATTCATTCAACTGTCGTTTGCCATTGTTCTCGATTCATTCAAAGAGATTCCATTTCTGCTGTGAACATTGATCTTCAATATAAACAATGTCAATCCAACACGCGGTCTCATCATCGAACTGAACATTGACAAAACGACAGATCGATAGAGACACACCCGTCGAGTGTATTGACTCATTGCGATGAACAACAATTCATTGGAGAATTTCTTTCTTCGATGACTAGTGGTCGACCTGAAGTTCGTGAATCAGTTGATGGTGTCATTTCAGTTACAGTTAGGCCTGTACCCGTACTATTGTCTGAGACGACTTGATCAATCTCTTCGTCATTGTTAATGTCTGACATCGAATGAAAGAGATCAGTTCTTCTCTGTTCGATGAGATTCGTTTGGAATTGTTCGTGACAGAAATTGTTTTTGTCGTCGTGAAAGAGTCTTCTGATGATCGAATTGATCTTTCGTGTCTATGGATCAATCAATTCGATGACGACAATCAAAACATCGACGAGAAACATTTCTTCGACATCGACGTTCTCAACTGAGACAATTCGAGATGAACGACGACGACAAACAGTGAATATCGATGAGTGACAACGGCAGACGAAAGAGAACTTGGAACTTTCGTGAAGAAATATTTGTTGATTGATCTCTCGTTGTTTGACAAGGAATTTCTTTTTCATCGTCATCGATCGAAGCCAAATGAGACACAGCTTACAAGGTTCATTAACAAGAGAAAGAAAGACGATCTCTCTCTCCGCGTGACGATCAAACGACGAACTCGAAGTGAAACTCGATGACGAACATGGTGTCACCGATCGACTCTCTTTGCCTCGCAAAGACTTATTCAGCAGAGTTTTCAAGAAGAAAAACCTCGCTGAACTATTCAAAGAAAAGAAAGAATTCGTTCGACTCTTCATAAGAGATTGAAATGATTCTTCAATTATCGAATGAAAGAAATCGAACAGTTCGATTTGAGGGTGAGTGGCTCTAATCCACACCCTCATTTTTTTTATATTGAGAGCATATGTGGAACTTCACTCTCACACCATTATTCACTGATCATCAAGATAGTGTTAATAAGAAAATGTCAGAAAATAATAAAATAAATCTTTGAATTGACAAAGGTTAAAAATTCATGATTCACTAAAGGAAATGTTATCATAGATAAAAATACTTGTTTTCTGTTACGCTTCATTAGTTTGTTATTGCATTTTTCACAATACTTGTTTTGGAAAAAAACTAATCACATTCGAGGTATTTGTCCAATTCGATATGTCCAAACTTGATATTTGTTTGAGACTTTCTATCATTTCCGTTGTTGATTGTATAAATGTTTTCACCAAAATAATGGCGGTTCCAGCACAAACTCCACCCAAAATACATGCACCGATGAAAGCAGTTACTGGAGGAAAAGCTGTTCTTGCAATAATTAATGCACCGACGCCACCACATGCTTCGGCTGCAACAAATCCTCCGACTGTAGCCCCCGATGCGATTGCATCTGCTGGCATAGCATATTTGAAACAAAAACTTGCAACTTCAAGTCATTCCTCGACAATGACTTTTTTCGATTGAACTGAATTAGTCATACTATGTATGCGATCGTCTAGTTTCTGACTCTCAGCTGTTGATGATTTAGCTAAACTGAGTAAGTTTTGCATTCCACTTGACATTCGATTGAGTGCAAGTTCGATGTCGTGTTTATCTATATCGTTGAGCTTCTGAGCCGGATCTGTGGTCATAACATCTTGAACAATTGTCATCTGTGTCGTCGCAGCTGTAAGCAGAGGAAGCATCGTATTCACATTGTGTTTTGCTTGCATTACCATCCGAACAAGACATTGAATAAGATCACGAAGTTCATTTGCCATGTCACTATATTCTTAGACTTCCTTCATCATATTTTCAAGCAATAGTTTAATATTTCCCACTATTTCTGAAATTTTATGCAGTTTCTCAGCAAATGGTAACGAAGAGAAATTCGCTGCAATAGATATAAATTGTCGGAAACGATGAGTTTGTTCATCGCCATTATAAGTATTATTTTTGTTAATTGCAGCCTGAAGTGATGCTTCTGCAATTTCATTCGGTTTGAACGTCTCCCAGCTGTCATTTCGCAAGAATTCCTTGCTGACACCTTCAATATACATGAACTACTATCGAAATTAAATTATAATGAACGTTGGTGTTTCTTTAATAGTTCGAAAACGGAAATCGATAGAGACCTAAGTTTGCTAGATGCACGTCTATCTGAATGTAAATCGATGTTTCTCTCAATTGATCAGTGCCAGGAACTTGAATATTAAGCGCTATGCAAGCGATAACAGAAACGAAAGTGGAATTGACCTATCTGATGAAGATTCATATATGGAAGAAGGAGCTGAGGCTGACAAACAGCCGTCGAATTTCACTGATAAAATTAGTCTAGATGACCGGCATATCTACGTGAAATTAGTTCGACGATTCTGGAAGTGTCTTAAAGCGTACAAAAATGGACAGACGTATACGGAAGTTGTGAAAATGTTTTTCAGTGAAGCCTGCGAAGGAACTGGCAAAAGTCATGCAAGAATCAGTAACGCGAAAATTTAGAGGTCTGCAATATTTGCTTATTTTGAATGCTCTGAGAGCCTTTTTTCATCTTTTTTTACTGTGATTGACGAAGTACTGACGGCTTTGAACATGTAGAATTAAAATCTAACCGTGAAAGCTATCTTTTCAATTTGGGGCGTCGCAAAACGCTTTGCTGCTGGTTTTTGTGCCATACTCTCACAAAAGAAAGTCCAAAACCCTTTCGAAACCTCTCGAAAACCCTCTGGAAGTCCTCCATCGTTTCCGGAAGCACGTCTATCGAATTCCTGGCGCCTAACAACCTATAGCGATTTATTTTTATCATTTTTGAGTCGATAATGAATAAGTCAGCTAAAGACGGCCTGGCCGTTTTTCCTTCCGTTTCGGCAAAAGGCGTTTTTTCCGGTATGGAAAAAACACTTTCGAAAAAATCTCTCCGTACTTTTAAAGCTTGTCACTTGGGCTATCTAACGGTATGTGAATGGGGACCTATCTCTTAACCCAAAAAACTAGATAGGTTTGCAAGCTGAGAGTATCGACCGCTGAGCTTAGCTAGTTCTGAGCTCAGTCAAAATTTCAGTTTTGACCAAACGTCATTGAAAGAGACCTCTCTAGAATCAGTTTTCAACGTAGGATTTGAAAGTATTAATGAGAATAAGTAAAAACGTGAAGGGAAAAAATTGTGAACCATTTTCTGAAAAAGAACAGTTTTTAGCTTTTCCGATCTCGTCTCAGTATTTCGCATTTTTCTCCATCAAGATTTCATTTTTTCGAACTAAAAAGGTGATACTCGTGATCATCTCGACCTGGCAATTCAGAATATATATAATGAAGTTAAAAAGAAATTTCACTCTGAATTTGACCTACAAGCATCTTAGATGAATTTTTAGTTTTACGTTGTTGAAATGAGACATTGTAACAGTCGGAAGTCAGCGTATACCACCTTATTTTTCTAGTTTGCGCTTTTTTACTGTTTACTATGTACGAAGTTGAGAGCATTTCAGAAGAAATAAAAGATTTATTCGATGTTCGCAGGTATTCACTGCAATACTCGAAATTATATTTTGATTCCATAACAACCACAAGGCCATATTATTTTTTTGTCAAGTCTTTTTCCTTTCCAACCTGAGCTGTAGAATATTTGTAACGTAGATGAATTTTTATTTTTACGTTGTTGAAATGAGACATTGTAACTTCAACTTCAAGGTTTTTTCTTGAAATTCTGTTCTGCTTATTCCATGCAGAATGACATCAGCTACAACTTCACCAGCGAAAGTTTTTCTCAGAAAATCTTTGTTATCACGCAATCACTGGCAAGGTTTCAAAAATTACTTTTTATACTCAAAAGTAGAAAAAACACGCTTTTTACAATGTTTTACTTAGAAGACATATGTCGTTCGAAAACTTTTCGAACATTTTAAAGCATATTATATACAACCAAAGATTGTCTACAAAATAACTCTACCGCCACAGTGATCAGACATTCCAATAAAATATAATGAATTATTTTACAATGCCATCGAAATCGAAAGTTTAATTAAAATTTAAACTTAATTAATTAATAACTCTGTGAATAGTTATCAGTTCATCGAAAAAACTAAAGGATACATGTACAGAAGGAGGAGACATTGGTGTGAGATGTCCTGGTTTCTTCTGTCCACTATGATTAAATTGTTTACACACTACACAAGATTGACAATATGCGTCGATGAATTCTTTCATGTGTGGTTAATTTATATATTCATCTATATTTATATATAAATAAACTATTTATATTTATATTTCATCTTCCCATACGTTCTTTGAGATGAAAAATGAGCTACTGCAGGATGATCGTGATATGAACGTAGAGCAGACTCTACGTTAATCTCGATTTTGGAAGATAAATTAATTTTGACGTCGATTTTCCACCGTTTCTAGATTGTAACTTGTAAAATACATTATCTTCTAATAAAAATGGATCTTTTTTCGACTGATCTTTACATTGTCTGTGTTACATTTCGAACCACTTTTCCCATTTCAAGTTCCGTGTTATTTTTAGGTCACTTATTTTCTTTATCTAAAAGTGTGTGCCGCTGCATTTTTCACTCAGTTTCCAGTCTCTAGAATACCTCTTTACTCTAAATCAATAGTCATAAGTTCTATATTGTGTTTCATAAGAGATATATAATCATGTTTATGATATAATTTTTCTAAGTGCAAGGACCTTAGACTGTACCAGATACTTCTGAGCTACCGGAAACTGGTCAACTGAGACTTTCGTCAATGCCCAAAGTTTTGTCTTGCTCTCGCCAATAATCAAAGTTTTGTTTGACTTTCGGCAATTGATCAAAGTTTTGCGTAATTTTCGTCAACTGACCAAATAAGGCTATCACTCATAAGGCTAGGCTGTAGCTGTACTTTTATCGTGATATACAGATCTTCAACAAAGTCGAAAAAGGTACTCTATTCCGGCAAATTTTAGTCAACTCTCGAGGATACAACCACAGTCTCATCAGTGATCGAAGTAAGGTGAATTTTGATCAGCTGACGAAAGTCAGACAAAACTTTGGTCAATTGACGAGAGTCAGACAAAAATTTAGTCAATGACGAAGGTGTAGGTGATGAAAGTCTCAGTTGACCAGTTTCTGATTCCCCATACTTCTAAGTCCTGCAGCGTCATGCAGCGTCAACAAAGTTTGATTAGATATTTCCATCTGGATGCAATATACGAAAAAAATGAAAAGGAAAAATTCCCAGTAAAAGAAAGAGAAGTCTTACTCAAAGTTTTTTCCAACTACGTGAAATAATTATCGTAGTCACAAGAAAGGAGAAAATATTGACTCACTAAACAAATATTCCTGTCGTTAGTAGGAGAAGAGGAAGAGAAGAAGAAAAAGGCTTCTCTTGATTCTTTTCACATTAAAAACACATTTTGCAGACACAATTTTCCTTATTGAAAATTATGGCAAGACAAGCAGACCCATCTAAAGTAGGTTATGTAATTAATATAGTTCAAAACCCTAAACTATTTTTTTGATTTTAAGTCGTCAAAAGAACCGGTACTCGCCGACAATAGTAATTCAAATGTCCATCTATTCTTCGATATTT